AGTAATCTAGGTTGTAGGTTATTCTCTTTCATTACTTTAAGTATGTCCTGCCATTCCCTTCTGGCCTGAAGGGTTTCTATTGATAGATCAGCTGTTATCCTTATGGGAATCCCTTTGTGTGTTATTTGTTGTTTCTCCCTTGCTGCTTTTAATATTTGTTCTTTGTGTTTGATCTTTGTTAATTTGATTAATATGTGTCTTGGGGTGTTTCGCCTTGGGTTTCGAAGGTGTGAAGATAAGTTACTCCACTCAGAAAATGGCATGGGGAAGCTATCATTGAACTCTACTGTTGAAACTATTGGTTGTGAAAGCTTAAAACTGAGTTGAAATGTTACAGCTATGAAACCTTTTAAATGACATAATGTGCTAAACAATGTAAATCTGAAATCCTATATGAGTCAAATTATTTCTGCTGATTACCTGATGATGTAGACACATCAAGTTTTCTATGTTTTATTTTTTGTTTGTTTTCTTTTTAAGAGGAAAATTTCATAAAAATTTTACCTTGAAGCTCTTTTTCTGGGATGTATTGTTGGTGGTTTAGTTGCTAAGTCGTGTCCAACTCTTGCAATCCCTTGGACTGTAGCCTGCCAGGCTCCTCTGTCCATGGGATTCTCCAGGCAAGAATACCGGAGTGGGTTGCCATTTTCTTCTCCACCTGGAATGTATAGGAGATTTCAGTTTGAAGCAGTAGAGGGCAGAATAACATTAGTTATAGAAGGCACTTGCTCACTGAGTCAATGTAAACAAATTAATTAACTGCAGGTATTCATGTCTTAGTGCATTTGGTTAGCTAACATAACACAATGTTATACTCAGCCATAGGGAACACAATTAACACAATTTTTACCAGTGGTTATCCATTCAAATATGCTTCTTAGCAAAGAGACACCAGAGGACAAAGCTAAGTTATTAAAATCAGAATGGAAAAAGTTCCACTTCTTTAAAAAATAATGATATTGGATGTCTGATACTGTCAGATTTGATAGTAAATAACCACACAGGACTGGTGTTAGGCTGACATCCCCATTTTAAAGCTTACCTTTTCCTCTTCATTCTGCATTATTTACTTATTCTAGATTTCTGTAAACATACTTGATTTATTTCAATAGGATGGTACATGGAAGATTTTTGTACAGTTTTTTTCTAAGTTGGTTACCACAATTGATAAGGCAATCAGTAATGTGGATTTTTGATCCAACTACTGGGAACAATTCAAAACAATCTATTCATCAGTATTTAATGTGAAAAAAATAAACTTTCACCTCAAATATTTTGGTGTGATATTTATTAAAAAAGAAATTAGTAATATATGCATCATCTTTTAAAACCCCAAACTAGTGAGAAATAACAGAAACATGAGAATAATATCAATCAGTTTTCTTTATAAACAAGAGAAATGATAAAGTGGAATACAGGTATACCTCAGAGATTTGCAAGTTCAGTTTCACACTACTGCAATAAAGCTAATATTACAATAAAGTGAGTCACACAAACTTTTTTATTTTCCAGTGCATCTAAGTTTTATTTACATTATACTGTAGTCTATTAAGTGTGCAACATTATGCTAAAAATAATGCACATACCTGAATTAAAAAATACTTTATTGCTAAAAAATGCTAACCATCATCTGAGCCTTCAGTGAGTCATAATCTTTTGGTAATCGTAACATCAAAGATCACTAATCGTGGAAAACCATAACTAATCCATAATAATTAAAAAATCTGAAATATCATGAGACTTACCAAAATGTGACACAGACACAAAGTTTGAAAAATGGTGCTGATATACTTGTTCAATGCAGGGTTGTCACAGACCTTTCACTCATAAAAAATGCAATCATCTACAAAGCACAATCAAAGAAGATACGCCTGTATTCTTGCTAAAAATTAGGTAAAAAACGACGATGCCTATGTTCCCTTCTAGTATTTAACATTGTGGTGGAATAATAACATGTTAAAAATATATGAAGCAAATACAAGGAAGCAAAATTATTATAACAAGAAGAAAATATAATTTCCAAGGCAAAAGTAAGATCAACTTTGAACACTCCACCATAAATCTAGCCACTCTTGACTCCTCTATCACCATGGATTGGCTTTGCCTGTTTCTGAACTTCTTATAAATGAAAATAATGTTAAAATACTTTATGTCTAGTGCTTTTGCTCAATATTATGTCTGTGAAATCATCCATATTGTTTTGTGTATCAATAATTCATTGTTATGCACTATGTCGTTTGAATAGATCACAAATATGTGTCAATTCTATTATTAATGTAGTTTAACTTTGTTTCTTTGGCATGTGTTGGGACTACTATGATGAAAGCTTCTGTTAGCATACTTGGACTTTTCTTCTGGTGGATCTAAGCAATGATTTCTGTGGATATATGACATATGTGGATATATGACCAGGGGTGGGTGGAGTGGCTTTATCACAGGGTGTGTGTTTACATGTTTATCTTTATAGATAGTACCAAGCACTTTCTAAAAGTTTTAGTAGTTTATACTTCCATCATCAACAATTGTATGTCTTTTTATATTTTTTTATTTAATATTTTTAGTTTTAGCTGTTCTGATGTGTGTGCTGTGGTATGACATTTTGGCTTTAATTTGCATCCCATGAGCAGTCATGATGTTGATCACTTTTTTTTCAAGTTTATTGATCATTTGGAGATTCTCTTTTGTGAAGTGTGGTTTCACAAAATATGAAGATTCTCATTTTCTTGATACGGAAATACATATTTTTTAAATATGTAAGAAAGATACAGACATAAATAAGCTAGAAATGCAAGTAAGTTCATAATCTTTGGAGTTTTTTTTAACCTGGCTGGTCTGACAACATCATGATTGTCTTTGGGATTGGCATGGGATTGTTCTGATCCATCTAAAATGTGTCCTTTGTAGAGTTTCATTGTATGTTCATACTCCCTGCAGGTAAGAGATCTTGGCTAATTCGGTACCAGAAGTCCTTTTCTCAGTTGTCTTTCTTCCTTAAATTGCATCCTAGAAGTTCTTCTTTCACGTTAATTTTATCTAAGAGAAACCTTTCTGATTGGACTAGATATATGTATAGAAATTTCTGCTGTAACTTATTCAACAATTGCTGGAAGTGTTAAAGGTAAGTTTAAAGCAAGATATTGAGTTTTAGGAGTCCTTTGTAGTGAAAATATTTGCACTAAAGAGAAAATAAGTTTATACCAAGAGGCACAGATACATAGATATAAGATCTATAATAGTGCTGGAAAAAACAATCAGGATGTACTTTATTCATCCATAAACTACTATGAAAAGCCATATAGCAAATAAGACATTAGCATTCAGGAATCAGTTACTTACTCTTAAAGTTATATCAATGTTTTCATTCATTAAATGAGAAACATATATTAAAATTTTCTATTTATATATTATTAGAAAAATATGATTTTTACCCAAAATTCTGTCTCATCTTTGTCTTTTAACAGAGTCTAGTGAAGTGGTTTGGTTCCTCTGTACTGTCCCTGGTGATACAAAGGCGGGAGTCATCATCTTCCAGTACCAACTCTGGAAGACTGAGCTAAGACAAGCTACCTTTTATTCAGAAAAATGGAAATACTGGACACAATTTAAAAGAGTCAATTTTAGGCACATAGCTAAGAAGAAAAAAAAAGGGAATGGTATGTAGGCTCCAAAAATTAAAAGGGAGTTTAAAGATCTCATTTCTTACCCTCCATTCCCTCAAATCCTACTCCCTAGAAATAATGAGACATCAGTTTTCCCCAGTGTAATCCATTTAATATTATTCAACATGTTATGAACGAGCTTGTATTTAGGTGAATACTCTTTACCTAGAAGAATTTAAATGCTGTGTAGTATTCCACAATATGAAGGGGTCAGTATTTACATAACCAAATCCTCTATAATAACACATTTGACTACAATTACCCTTTATGTAAATAGGGCTGCAAAAAATAAATTTGTATTCCCATTTGAATAGGGAATATAAGTACCTAGAACTGCATTTGGTGAGTCCAGTGGTTCAAAAATGTTGGTAATTTTTACCAAATTACTGATATTTGAAAAATTTTGTTTCTACTGTGTATAGGTGTCAGCTCTTATCCCAACCATCAGCAAGCTATTGTGTTCTTTATCAGATTTTTCCCTATAGAATGCTACAACTGAATCCTTTGATATGTCCAAACTCATCTCTTTGTCCTTCTAATTTCAATCTATGGTATAAATCTACTTAGCTAGAGGCATTTTGGGGACATTTTTGTTATTTATTTTAGCTCCTGAACGCTATCCCACCCACAAGAGTGTATTCTCTTTCCCTTCCTCTTCTTCAGCTCAGTTGCTCAGTTATGTCTGACTCTTTGTGACGCCATGAACCGCAGCATGCCAGGCCTCCCTATCCATCACCAACTCCTGGAGCCTACACAAACTCATATCCATTGAGTTTGTGATGCCATCCAACCATCTCATCCTCTGTCGTCCCCTTCTCCTCCTGCCCCCATCTTTCCCAGCATCAGGGTCTTTTCATATGAGTCAGCTCTTTGCATCAGGTGGCCAAAGTATTGGAGTCTCAGCTTCAACACCAGTCCTTCCAATGAACACCCAGGACTGATCTCCTTTAGGATGGCCTGGTTGGATCTCCCTGCAGTCCAAGGGACTCTCAAGAGTCTTCTCCAACACCACAGTTCAAAAGTATCAATTTTTCGGCACTCAGCTTTCTTCANTGAGTCATGAAGATCTTTTTTATACAGTTCTGTGTATTCTTGCCACCCCTTCTTAATATCTTCTGCTTCTGTTAGATCCATAACATTTCTGTCCTTTATTGAGCCCATCTTTGCATGAAATGTTCCCTTGGTATCTCTAATTTTCTTGAAGAGATCTCTAGTCTTTCTACTAGACATAAATGGGTCCTTCAAGGCATTTTTCCTGTAACTGCACAATTTGCTCTGGAACTATGCTTATTTCTTTCCCAGTTCCATCCGCCCTTTTTCTCCTCCACCAGTTCCTCCCTCCCAAGCAATGAGAATAGATCAGATGTTACTTTAAAATGTCGGCTATATGGAATAATACACCAGTTAAGATTTCGGTTCTTAATGCTCTCAAATTAACTGTTTTGATCAGATTTATGACCACCTTGTTCATCTGACATGAAACCAAATGAATCTGTTATTGAGAACAAATAAATAAATTTCTCCCAGGGATCTATGCTTTGTTTAGTACAGTGCTTATACTGAAACTTAACTTGGAATAAATTTTACTAAAACAACGTGCACTTAGCTCTCTTACACAGAAAAAGTTACATGATTTATGAGTCAAGGGAACCTGCCTTTTGCTTTACTCAAACCTTGCTCCACCCTTACCAAGAGTACACATCTCCTCCTTCAGTGATGAGAACTTAGGTGAACAGGTTTCCATACTTCTAAGAAACTGGATTCCTCTTCTATTTAATGAAAATCCATAGGACTGTTTTTGTGTTATGATCCTTTCCCTGCATACTTGTAATGTGACTCTGGCTATTTGTCTCTAAATACTCATCACATGCTGGCTATTTCCTGTCTACCCATGATGTTTAAGTATATAACCCAAAGCGATGAGGAAAATTGTCATCAAGTCTTCCCTAATAGTTGGCAGAAAAACTGATCCAGTAGCCCCCCATTTTGCAGAAGTTAGCTTTCTAAAAGGACAACGGGAAAAAATGTCACATAACAACTATAAAATTGAGCCATTTACACCATTTGCATGTACTGTTTTCATAATTTTTCCAACATATTAAGCCTTCTATAAACTGAACAATAATTTCAAACTGGTACCAGTGGTTTCTATATTACTTGGCAATTGAAAGCATGACTAACCATCACCAGACTGATGGGGCCAAAGGCCCACAAAGGGTGAATTCAGAAAAGGATTGTCTAAGACCAGAGCTATCAGAAGAGAGGCTCCTACCTGGATTTCTGCCTTACATATTGTACCATTACTTTACTGTGCCCTAAATATACAAGGACAGAAACCACCCTTTCATCAGAGAAAGATAGATACTTCACTTCTTACTCCAAGAAGCAGTTTATCCAATATCCCATCCAGGAAAAGTAGAGAAATTGAAAAACAAAAATGAAAAACTTTACCCTTTAGCTGCTGCTGCTGTTGCTGCGTCGCTTCAGTCGTGTCCAACTCTGTGCAGCCTTACGGACTACAGCCCGCCAGGCTCCTCTGTCCATGGGATTCTCCAGGTAAGAGCACTGGCGTGGGTTGCTATGCCCTCCTCCAGGGGACTTCCTGACCAGGGATCGAACCTGGGTCTCCTGCGTTGCAGGCAGATTCTTTATCACTGAGTCTTATCTCTAGACAGAATCCCCTTACATGTAGAACTGCCCATGACAATATGGTATTGACATAGTCCTTCTTTCTTTTAGTACTATATTTTAAATTTCTTCATCCATCCAATATTTAGATTGACCCTGTTATGTGCTCAGGTAAAGAGGTAAGATTTCATTTGCCTACTGTGAGGCGTTAATTGTTCACACTCTTGTTGGAAGAAAGAGAAGTAACTGATTACACTACAATGTCGTTTGGGACACAGTAAAAGTTGCGATCTGGAGGGGCACAGATAGATTAAGAAAAATCAGACTATAAGGGCTTTCAGTGAAGGAAAAAGTTTTAAGTGAGTCATAAATAGCAAGAATGAGACATTAACACATATTAGCAAAAGAATATTAACACGTATTAGGAAAAGAAACAGAATGTGAGTTTGTGTTTCCTATGGCCCTAAAGGGAAGTTCTATATGCTATGCCATTAGAGGTCAGATGCTGAGAAAGTAGACTTTGAGACACAATTTACCATGCAAGGGGTTTACTAGGGAGTACTATGGATCAACACTTCAGGGAAGAAAAACCAGGAGGATGGAGACAGGGAATGCTGAGTTGCCGTACAGTCACAAAGTGGCCTTGGCCAATTACAGTGAGGAGCTCTGAAGGTGAGATGACCTTTCAGAGGTGGAATGAGGGGTCTGAGCCTTTATACCTCCACATCAACCAGTCACTGAATACAGACAGACCTCAG